AATACTACATACAACATATTCCTGTAAATGTTAAACACTGGGAGGTGCCCTCTGTGTCCTTGTTGTCAACCAGAGTGTTTCTCCAGATCCTTCTCATGCTTTCCAACCTGCAACATTTCAGCACTGCAAGCAGCAGCCTTCAGAAAGGTGGAGTGCTCAGAGGATTGCTTCACATCGAGCCAAATTATCCTTTTAGGGCTAATTTTCTTGTTCCTTCTTCAAGACTTGGGTCCTGAGGGAAAGCAGAGCCCAAAGCAAGCCCCGGATAAAAAGATTAGATCCCTCTGCATTATGATGCTTGTAATGATTCAGCAACTTAAAGCCATCTTTCTACCAACAAGGAGCCCGTGGTTCTTCTATAAGCTGATAGTTCAAAGCGACAAATAAAATAAAAGAATCTGACAGAAGTCATTACCACCTACAAAGCTGTTGTACAATTGTGAGAACAAATGGGTCAATCGTGCCCCAAACCTGCAGTTATATTCAGCTGGGAGAATACTCCCATCCTTCTTGCCGAAAAGAAACTACAATTCTGCCTTCCCTAACAGTGCTTAGCAGTTAGACCATGAGGGCAACAGCAGCGTCCTATAGCTCCCAGGTATGACTGTCACTTCCCAAAGGCAGGTGAAAGCCACCGAGGACAACCAGGTCTCCTAATGGGGACCGTGACCAGCCATCTCCTGACACCCACAGTATCTCAGGCTCCCTTAAAGCCAGGCAGCTCCAATAAGCTCCAGAGCAATCAGTCCTCTGCTCTCTGAAAACCATTGCTGCACAGAGCAAAATAAACCATGGAATATCTCAGCAAATAATCTTGGGTGAGAAATTTTTCTACTCTAACAATTAGGAGAAAGCCTTTGTGTACTCCTCCAGCATCTACTGAGCACAGAGGGAAGCAGAGGGGGTCACAGCCTTAATTCCAGGTACAAATTGGCCACCTGTTCTCTACCACGGAAAGGAGGAAGAGGAGGTTACAGCCACAGAGTAATGAGTGAGATTAGACTGCAATCAGGGAACAGAGAAGTGAGTTGGACAGACGTGCTGAAGGCAGAGAAAGCATCCTTTAAATTAAACCTCTACCATTCACCTGGTCACTGAGTCAGTGGATAATCTACGAGACTCCAAACTCCTTCCAGGAGCTGATGTGCATCAGCCCAGTGCGTGTTTCCTCCTATCTACTGATAATAAAGCAGCCCAAGAACACACGAGCTTTTCTACTTCTTTCAGCCACACACATGGAATATAAATTTTCTGTAATCTCTGGGAATACCGGGATTTTTCCCTTCCTCTTTTTCCAGTAAAGCCTACAGTGTTTTTTAAGGATGAAGGAACGGAACCTGACCTGATGAGAAATCACAAGTGCAGTCCATAGCTCCTCAGCACTTTGTGCACCATTAGAGCGACGTTATTAACAGGACTGAGGTGGCACGAGGGCAACGAGACCATCATCTGTCTAGAGGGTGATGTGTGGACACAAGGAAGGCAAATGCAAACCTGCAGAGGTAATGTGCTCCACTTGTCAAATGAATTAGTTTCCTTCTGCTGAGATGGACTGCGCAAGCCTCACACCTGGTAGTAGCAAAGCACCTTCCAGGGAAAGCTGCAGACCAGGAATTCCATGAAGATGGCAGGACTGCTCAGCTCAGCAGAGCCCTGAACCAGCCCCCTCGGTGACAACTGGGCTACGAAAACATGAATGCAGAACACCTGGCAACTGCTGATCCCAGAAACTAAGACTGTCAGAATTTGGGAAATATCGCCTCCGAAGTAACGAGGTGCTTTGAGATCTTCATTCAAAAGGCTCAGGGTAAGACTAAGGGCACATGATAGAAGTGTGTGCTCTGATGCTAAATATATCTCATGCCTACTGAGAGAAGCAGTGATTCGATTCGAGTCCTGTCTTCTGCTCCACTGTGGGTATCAGCTCCTGCCTCCTCCAGCTCATTAACACTGCTGTAAAGTGGCTGGCACGAATTTACATCAAATGAATATAATTACAGAGAAGAATGCATTGTATGAAGTTAAACCTCTGGTCTTCCTTTGCTTTTCCTCTCTTACTTCTGTTCTTTCCCTCTTTTCTCCATCCTTTTTTGCACGGCAGCTTTGTTTCTATTTTTCTTCTCCATTCATCATCTGTCCTTCTTTTCTTTTGGTCTTTCACCTATTCCTTCTTTCAAGTCCACAGTTGACTGCTTTCCTTTTTTTTTCTCCCAAGTTTGATTGATTTATACCCCACTTACGTAAATGTTTTTATACAAAGCATATAAAGCGCTGAACTCCCTGTGGAACATCATAAGCACTACTACCATCCATGTAGGTAAGGGGGAGGGGGGAAGTGAAGTTAACGAAGTGCTAAATTAAGTAAGAATCTCTTACATCATACTTTGAAGCTTGCCAAAATCTGATGCTTCAGATGTACTGCAACAACCAGTTTCTGAGACAGGTCCTTCGCAAGCAAAAAAATCTTCATACTACAGTGTCAGACAGGAAAAGAAACGAGAGATTCTCCCAGCTGCTTTACCAGGGGATGAGGTTACTTCTCAAACAATCAGACCTCGAGTCCTCACACTGCCACTCCAACACCCAACACAATGCAATTTTAATTGCCGACTATGAAGGAAAAAAGGAAGGAAGATGAGGAAAAATATTTACTTTTCATCTTGTCCTGAAACTCCTGCAGGACTTCAGGCAAACAATCTCCATGGAAATTCATTGTATTGCTCAATCCATCCTTGCTTAATTCATCTCATGGAACTCTTAAATGGTACCCAGGCAATAGGCTGGCTCTCTACAGAGATGGAAATTACATCTCTAATTACAAGATACAGTGCTGCCCTAATAATAAGTACTGTGCTCAAGAAGCCCCAACCCAGGAGGATGAGTTTTGACCTCTTTTGACTGGAAAATAGTTGATAAGAACATTAAAGCAAGTCACAGCTCCAGAAACAATCCATCTACTTGCTCTGAGCACTTTGGCACTGAGTGCAGAAGTTAGGCTCGTATGCATCTCACTGGTTTAAATTGGTGATTGGAGCTGGAACACAGATTTTGGGCAACAGAATATAGAGATATAGAAGAAAAACTGGAAAGGCAGATAGTTTGACCACCACAAAATACTTCTGTGCAGGTTTTGACCCCACATTGCCCTAACAGTCTCTAGACAAGCAGTGCTCAACAGGTCCCTTGCAGGCATCGCTGGAGAAATGCATCTGACTCCTTCAAACCTCTTTAGCATCTTCAGGATGGGCCTTCGTGACCCTTGGAGATGCATTGCATGCACAGATGTAGAAAATACACCCCATCCCAAGAACAGCCAGATCTTAAGACACCTCTGTTGCCTCTCACCTTTCCTTACAAATGATACCTCTTGCCCTACAGACGTTCTCCTTCCTCACACTGGCAGTAAAAGACAGCAGCAATCTCTGGCTGGGGACTATTTTCTTCACCAGCACAGATCTGTAGCATTTAACAGCAAACCTTCAATTATCATAGTACATGACCGTAAAACTTGCTCAACTGGAAGTGATCAGCTGTTTCTAACCTTGCCTTCAATCATCTCCTTTCTTTTGCCCCCAAAGCCATTTAAAATAATATTCTCCTGGAGCCTCTATGCAGCCTACCTAGTACAAAGTTAAACCATAAGTCAAAATGATTAAAATTATATGGAAATATATACATCTCCTTCAACATTTTACAGGGAACACGGCTCCTAGTGGGACATCGCTACACATTACTCATAAGGCCAAGGCATGTGGCAGTTCCCAGAGAACCTGCACGCTCTCTTCTTTATGCCATAGGCCTTATAAGCAGCCATTAATTTTTTCCATTTCAGGCCACGCTTCCTATATGCATAATTTGAGTCCTTAAAATGAACCCCGATCTGAATTCTACCTGCTTGGAAGAGCAAAAAAAAAAAAAAAGTCTTGGAAATATATAGCAACAAGAAACTGGCAGGACAAACTCACACTCCCACTGTGCCAAATTGCAAGTTTAGTGATTCTGTTTTCTTCCCGCTGAGCGGAAGGTGTCATTAGCTGCTGTATTTAGAGGCACAGAAAAGGCTCTTGGAGCAGTCCCCAGCCTCTCTCTGGACCAGGTGGCTGATGACCACAGGAGCTCTCTGCAGCTGGGGACCTTCACCTTCATCTTCCTGCAGTCAACACTTCAGTTTTAATGGGAAGGAAATAAACGGGGCAAGCAGTACAACGCGGAGAGAAACCCTCGGGCTATGTCAGCCTCCTCCAGGCTGAAATTCATCCCTGCATCAGGGCTGCTTTTAAGTCCCCACACTGTATAAACACTCCTGGGTGCTTTTAAGTCAAGAATAGCTTTCGTTCTGGGAGAGGATTTCTCCTCTAGGACGGTCTCTGTGGAGCACCCATTGAACGAAATCCTCATTTCTGCAGATTAATGTAACGATGCCAAGAATCATCCTCTTATTGCAGAACTCAGGGTGAGCACAAACACCACGGAAACATCCCGTGATTGCACACACATGAGCCTGAGTCTTGGCAATAATCCCAGAGGCTGCGTGAATGGCAGCCCACCTAACCCCAAGGAGAGCTCCTGCTGATGCAGCCATGCCCATACTGAGTGATGGAGCAGGGTCAGCACTGGGAGGCTGTGTTGTGTGATGCAAAATGGTACAAACCCACGGCTGTAGGTGCTCCTCCTCTGATCCATGCACAGAGGAGGGGAGGGGGAATGGGAACGCCCTACAGCCTCTGGATTTATTTTGGTTGGTTGGAATGAAGACCACCTGCACTGCCTCAGATCCGGGGAAATCTGTGCAAGCCTCCATTATTTATAAGAGCTGTCCAGAGGCAAACTGCCTGGAATCCATTAACGGGAGAAGCTTCAGCTCCTTCAGGCAGTTGCCTGGCATAGGCCTTTTCCACTGCCACAAAGCAAAGGGATAAAAAAAAAATCACTTTCATTTCTAATTAATCTTCTGCTACATAATACTTTTAATTAGAAAAAAAAAAAATCTGTACGCTTTGTGAGAGAGGCAGGAAGGAGCCCAGAGCAGAGCATTAAGCTCTGGCACAATGGCTGTGGTTCAGACCCTGTCCTCTCCCATCCTGCGGCCTCACGGACAGCAGAACAGCTTGCACCAACCCCACAGATCAGGGATGGGGTGGCTGTGTGTGCACAGCATTGCCATTTGCCCTAGAAGAGGGAAAGAAAACCCACACAATGGGAGGCAGTGCTGGTGGGAGGGGGATTCAAAAGATACTTGAGACAGAAATACAGTGGATTCTGTTGGACGGAACACGACGAAACGAGCAGAAAGGCCAAGGGAGGAGGACATCCAACACATACATTATCTCTTCAAAACAACAATCAAAAAAAAGTTGATTCCCCAAACCCCAATTTCCTAGCCCTTCTTTCTCCTTCTAATGTCTCTCTTCCCTGCATTCATTATTAATGCCACTGAGGGTACAGATTTGCACTTCGGTTTCTGAAAAATTAATTCAATGATTAAAATTTCAGTCCCTGAGTGATGGAAGCAGCTCTGGCAAGCTGGAGATGCCCCTGTGCAGTCGGAGGGCCGTTGGTATGCTGCCTGCTTCCTCCCTGCACAACGGGGCTCCCTGCAGACCAAGCTCGAAGGGGAACGATCTGGTAGAGAAATGCATTTTTAAGTGAATCCAGTTCTGCTTTTCATGGAGAAGCCACTTCAGTTTAATCCCCCATCAACGCTTGATACAATGCAGAGAACAAACCCCAGGTTCTTCCTGGGCTGAAGGACTCGTGGCTTTTTACACAATGCCCTGGGTGAGGGAAAATCCCAGAATGAATGCAAACATTAATAAACGCTCACTGAGCAGCAAGCTGACTGCAGGCCGAGCCGTGCAGAGTGGCTAACGAAGTTTTCTATGGCACCAAGCTTTCAAATGAAAGAATAGCAGAGGACAGCACTCGGAGAAAGGCAGCTTCTCACCTCAGTGTTTGGTTTAATCAGCTGCTCCCATGCCTACCAGAGAACCTGCAAGCTGGCACAGAATTGCGCCCATACATCACACTGACCCCTGCAGGAGCCGCTTCTCCCAGACACAGAACAGCCAAGACCCCATAGTGCCCATCTATTATGGGCCAGCAAGGTCCCCTGCCTGGGCTGCACATCCCCTTCCCAGCAGCTCTGCAGCAGAGCAGCCAAACGCCTGTGGAATCCGCTACCCTCAGCTCTTGGCACTGCTGTTTTTGTTTATTTTAAAACAAACGTGAGAGAGAAGAGAGCAGCGCAGGGAGCTGAGGAGCTCAGAACACTTTTCTACATTTAGATAAGAGGAGGAGGAGGAAGAGCTGAATATAAACTTGCAGAAACCGATTTTGTTCCTAAGATGCTAAAAAAAAAAAAAAAAGAGCAAAAATAGAACAAACAGCAAAAAAAAAAAAAACCAAACAAGACTGCCTCTTCCATGGCACTTCGCAAGTGTTAAACCTGAGTAAAAATCCAACTGAGACTCAAAGCAGAACAGAGCAAACCCATCCATCTCTGGGCAGTACATCTCAACGGCAGCGGGGAGGGAACAGTGGGAGCCCCAGTGGGATGTTCTCCATGCTAGCCAGTACTGTGCTGCCTTTGTAGGGATGAAAAGGGACCAGGAGGAGATAGTAGCACTGTGCAGAACTCTGCTGAAATCCTCTGGAGGCAGGAAAATAGCAAAGGTCTGAAACAGAGCTGGCTTCCTTTGAAGCAATGGTACAAATGGAGCCTGCACTGTGCTGCACTGGGGTTGTGAAAACGATGGGAACACCCAGTGCTTGCTCACAGGCCTGCATTCAGGCACCCAAAACTTTTTATTAAAGCACCATTTCTAAAAACTCTCCTAAATCACGAATTCGAAGAAATTTGGAGCTCAGTGCTGCCAGGGATGCAAAGCAACACACAAACTTATTTCCACGTTCACTGAAACTTTGCAGGGCTAACGTGCACAATGTTGGCTGCTTGGAAAACTCACTGCTTTTCTTCCTCAAAAAGTGCTTTGTGGAGGCTTCAGAATAACTGAGCTTTTATGTGTTGTTCAACTACTGAATCTATTCTAAGCTGACAGCCCTTAGCACCATTATTCTCTACAGGACAGACAGAGCATCACTACAAGCAATATCATCTCCTTCACACACCTTCTGATGCCAGCCTTCCCCCCCAGCCAAGTTACTTCATCCTACCCTTATCCAGCCCAGGTGCTACTCCTTGAGCCTGGTGCTGGGGGCTATTCAATCTCCCCTTCCAAAAGGCTCTCAGCAGGAGACCTGCCACACCACCTGAGAGCTGATGTGCTGGGGTGCACAGGTCTGATGCTCTGTGCAAAGGGAGGAGGAAATGGAAATGCTGGGACAAGCATTTTGGCATAGCTTCTTGGCTGGGCTAAGGGTTTATTCCTGGGATGCTGCCTTCCTGCAGACTAAGGAAAATTAAATTTAGCACTTTGCAAATAAATAGGTTAGGGCTGAAAGGACACTATTTAGGAACTTAGTGCTCACAGCAGACTCAGAGATTATAGATCCATCACTGCCTATTACCTTGCTAGTTACTGCTTTCACTTTGTCTATCTTCCCCACTTACAGACCAGTCCTTTCATCAGGTTTTTTTCTGTTCCAACTTGAAACTGTCATCACTCTAATGGAATTGTATGAAGAGAAACAACTTCAGGCTGCAGTGTGACTCCGCCAAAAAAGCCAAGGACATCTCCTGCACTTTCCCAAGACAAGGCAGTGAGATCTTGCCTGCCAGAGAAAGGCACAGCGAGGCACAGCTGCTTATACACATCTGGAACCCCTGGGCACAAGTGCAACAGCCAGCTGGGCCCTTCCTCTCTACACAAGGACCAGCAAGCCACCAGCAGACTGCTCATCACTGCTGCAGCTCCATCACAGCTCCACCGCACCCAGTGTGAGAACCAGCCATTGCACCACTGACACAACGATAACCAACACCTCGTGCTGCCAGCATCTCTTCTATCTGCCTCATACAAAAATCATCTACAGACAGTCCCTCATCAGACAGATACATCCCGAAATGCAAAGTGACAGCCATCGCATAAAATGCTCTCCAGAGCCTTCCATTAAGACAGACAAACCCTTCAGTTTAAGGCTGAAATTTATGCCAGCTCCCCAGAACATGGTTTGGATGGATCCACTGTTATCAGCCACCCGCTTTTGCTGAAACTGAATACAGATTAGGAGGAAATTAAAATTTGCATGCTTTGGTTTGATATATTTCTTCCAAGATACAGGCAGACAGGCTTGTCTTCTTCCAGGTACCAGAGATGCCATCAAAAGGCAATCCTGGGAACTACCAAAGCTGGAGGTCATCCTCAGCTCTTAGATTCCCCCACGGAGGAGGAAGCAGCCATGTGATTGTGCTGCAAATCCTCCTAAGACAGACCTGACCTAAAATACCTGTATTTCTTCCTCAAAAGATATTCCCATGCAACAGCACATGTTAAATCCAAAGCCCTAAGATAGTACTCAGTTACCCGATCTCAGGGCTAATAGCCACATGGGCTAGGGTGAACATTTTCTGGGCATGGATTTAGGATGACGACGTACTTGTTTGTCTGAAACAAACATGAGAACAGATGAACTTTTTCACCATTTCCACACACATAAATAAGGGCAGTTGGCACATTACTAAATGCTGGCACTAATCTGTGTCTGTGTGAAGTATTAAGCATACAGTAGGTGAGCTGTGAAGATCGTTGCTCTGTAACACAGCTGAGGACTCCATCAGAATCACAGCAGCTTGTTGCTGGAACAACCAAAATCCCCAAAAGGATTTTCAGTTTACTTCTGCATTCTGTCATTGCTCCACAGATAACACACCATGGCAAGGACACCAGGATTAATAGAATCATACTGCAACACCAACAGGACATGCTATGATCTGGAGAGCCTGCTTCAGATCTTGTGCTTGAGACTACAGGATGCCCTGAAGTGCATCAAATCTGAAGAAATGCTATGACTGAATGCTTGCTGTGCCTCCAGCCCTCTCCAGCAGCAACTGTTCCAAATACAGGTGGGAGGCCTTGCAGCAAAGCAGAAGACACCCTCACAGAAGCGATTTCTGCTTTCCTAAAAGTGGTTTCTCAAAAGGAAAACGTAGCAGACCTCTGCTTAGTTAAAGGTTTCAGGGAACATACAAATACAAGAGACAGGGATCCCGCAGGAGCAAGCTCTGAAATGTGGGTTCTCAAACTGGCAAGATGGTTGGAGAGAAAGTGTTACTGAATGGCTTACACTAACTGCATGGTTGAAAGCAGTAAATGAGCATTTAGACTCCAAGGCACAGAAGCAATGCAAGGACTGCAGAGAAACACAGAGCTGAAAGGTGCAGCGTTACCCCAATGGTGGCCCTTTGGCTACCAAAGGGGATCTGTGACCATGACACCCCATTCTCTGCTCCCCAGCACTTTCCCACTAGATTCCTGCCCACTTACATGCCAGGCCTTGGGAGAAACAGCCAACAGTTGCACAACTCAAATGAAATTTAGGATGAAGCCTTTTATCTTTAACATCCTAAGCGTGAGGGCACAGCACAATCATTTAAATATACATATGAACCCATAGCCTTTATGAGCTCCAATCCAGCCTTCAGCTACAGATAACAGATGTCCCAAGACTGCAACACCCATGGGAATCTTTTGCTGTTCATCATACAAGCAGGTTTTTATGCAGACAAACACTCTCTTCCCTCTCTTAACTATACTTTCTCCAGATTTGAAAGTCTTTTGCCCTGGTCAGGCATGGACTGAAGTTGTAACTTCCAAAGCAAGAGGACACCCAGGGCAGGCAGGTGCTCTGCTGGGTGCTGCCAGCTGTATCCCCCACTGAGCTGCCAGCTTTTCTTACAAGTCTCACAAACCTATCCCTGGAAAACAAGGCTCAAGTAGACTGCAGAGCAGCCAGAGAAGATGGCAGAGATGTCGGGTACCTGGAAACTCAGACTTTCTACCCCACAAAAGGCAGCAAACCTCCAGCAATTTCTGATCCTTTTCATTTGCAGCTTTGAACATCATCATATGCAAGCAAACAACAGGGTTATGGTTTGCTGACACGGCTCTGCGTGTTCTGCAAATCCACAACAGAGCAGTCAGGGAAAGCAACAAGCACCATCAAAAGCAGCTTTGCAGAACACCCATTTCATGTGTCGGCAGCGAGGCCTTTGTATTCCCCAGCCTCCCGGGCTTGAAGGCAGCGCCTTTTCCTTCAAGAGTGCTGATCACACAGCCTCTAAGAAGAACATCTTTTGAAACTACCAGAGAGTCAAAAAAATTAATTAATAAAATAACTCAACTGGAGAGATTTCTGCCTGGATGAGGAGGCAGGTGCCCATAGGTTGGCTGTTCTGTTCCTCTCCAGGCTGCGATGTGCCCAATGGACATCTTGCTGTTCATGGCTAACAGAAGACTGCTGCAGTGGCTTTCAACCCCCATGTTCACATGCAGCCTTCTCCCTGCAGAACAGGTTAAATTGCTTCTCACAGCCATGTGGAAGCTGATGGACAGCAATGCCATGAGCCCAGGTAACAAAGGAAAGCAGAACGCTGAGCAACCACAAGCAAAGCCACGTGGCTGTTCAGTGGTAGAGATGGGAATAAGCATCCAGGAGGGTTTTGCTAAGCCCCCCCTTTTATCCACTGTTTAACACTGCCTTTATCTAACAACACAAACACAGCACTGCCAACTCACATGGCCTGTGTAAGCTGTTCAAACACAGCAGCAGGAGGATGCAGCATCCTCCTCTCCTGAGACCTCCTGCAGGGCCCCAGGCACAACAACAGGAGCAGCTCCTTTTCAGGCTAACTACATCACCCAGACACTGGGAACAAGGATGGGAAGAGGAAACAGAGATGGTTGTTATACCATGTGAGTCAGCCAGGGTCTGCCCTGCTTCCTGCTGACAGAAGGGCTGTCTCGGGCACAAGGATGGTGCTGTCAGGGCACAGACAGCAGCTGCCTGGACAGGGGCACACAGCTTTGCATGACCTGCCCCATGCACTCATCCTGCCCCACTGCCTCCTGCTGGCTGTGCTGCTACCCCAGCCCAGATGCTGAGGTTTAATCCAGTTCTCACCACTGACCTGTGCTCCTCACTGTGTGCGCGACTTGCCCTAGAAAGCATGGGCTGCCTCTCCTGTTTCATTAAGTAAGATGTTCTTTAATGAAGAAAAATGAGATGGGAAAGAGGTGAACCACAAGCTTTAAAAAAAAAAAAAAACAGCACAACAAAACACCAGCACTCTGGTAGTTTGGTTATTTCATATTGCAGAAGTTCTGGAGACAAACTGGGGGCCTTCAGCAGGGCTGGCCAGCGTCTGCCATGAGCTGGCACCAAGATGAGACCATCAGCAGAACTACCAGCAGACTGATGGACTCTCAGGAAGCACCTGTGAGCAACTTTATATTTTCAGGCAGGAAGCCTTACTTTTTGAAGGGGTTGTGCATTTGCCTCACAACGTAACATATCGGCCATTTCAAGAGGAGAAAAGCCAAGCGTTTCATTTACCTACTGCTCCCACCAAGGCCACAAATCTGTGAGCCTTCTGAGCGGCTCACACGTATCAGCCTCCTGCTAGTTGGGACTGACTTAGCCACTGGAATAATGCTCCAGCATCATCAGCATTAATTACCTGCATGGTTGGATCCACCCCAGCAGGCAGACACGGCAGAGAAGGGGAGCGAGTGGAGCCAGCATGCAGAGCAGCTCCTGTGCCAGATGGGCAGGTAATAGGCGGTGAATTCCCCAGCTCAAAGCTGCTCTCTGGTTCCCACTAGCACAGTGTGTTACCCTGAGTACAGTCTGGTGACATTGGCAGAAGCATTCTCCCCATTGCACTGATGGGAAACAGAAGAAGAACATTAACTTTTCTCAGCTAGATCAAGGTTTCAGCACAGCCTCCAGAAGTCTCAAAGCAACATCTTTGCACTCAGAAATTCTGCATTAGAAAGATGACTTTGTCAGATCTTCCCCAGTTCCACTACCCTTGAGGTGACTGGTTTCATTAAAAGGATAAAAAAAAAAATACTCTGCCCTAAAAGGTAGGCAGTTGTTTAGGGAAGCACACACACAAGAGAAACCATGTCAAGAGGGAAAAAAAAAGCATGAAAAAGAGCAGAATAAAATGAAGACAGAAACAAGAATTGAAGCCAGGTCCTAACATGAAATAGGTCGCTAAAACATCTGGACGAGAACGAAATGTAGGAAGTTTAAACGCAGGATCTGATCCTGAAACGCTACAGATTGCAGGACAGCTCTGCTTTTAGAGCTGCTGATTAGAGCTGAACCTGCAGGAATCCCTGCAAGGTATCACCATCACACAGGCACGGCCAGCATCTCCGGCAACCACATGGGCAAACAGGAAATGAAATATAAAAATAAAATAACTTGCAATTAACAAGAATGAGGGGTTAGCAGAGGCCTGCAATCTCTAATCAACCTCTCGCTGCCTGGCCTGCTCCACCGATGAGCCCCATTGTTATTTCTGATTGTGTGCAGGAGTGCGAGACAGTTGCTGGAAGAAAAGCACTCTATCGAAATTGTGATTTCTTTCTCCTCTCAAGACTCATCAGAGCTGAGGAGGAAGAGAGGATATCTGAGTAGATAGAGATGCAAAAAGAAACAAACAGCTAGAACATGCTTCTCAAAGATACTCTGCTGGGCTCAAGGAGGAATTAATGGCAACTGCAGGGATGCCATGCATGAAGACCAGACCCAGAGCTCCCAGCAGTGCTGTCAGCCTCTGCTCCAAACAGGATCACTCAGGCAAGTCAAGACAATCCCTATAGTGACCTTGCTGCTAATTTTGAGATGTACATTGTTAGTGGGGCACTGTGGCAAACCTGATGCTAAGGCTGCACCAACATCTCAGCAGCCTCAGGGCACAGGGCATCCTCTGCATGCTTAACCACCTCAGTTTTGCCTCCTTTCAGCCAGCACTTTGTCAGCACTGTTTTGTACTTCGAAAATAGCCTCCAGGTTCTCATTCTATCCATCCTTATTTCTGTCCTTAAGGACAGACAATTAAACCATCCCTTTTTGTTCACGGAATTGCCCTCCCACATTTTGTCATGATTTACCTATCTACCTACCTCAGGTTTCTATTCAGCCCCAGTTGTTCTTAATAATAAGAACTGCTGTAAAGCCATCTCACCCACCACCCTGCCTCCAAATAGCCATCAAGACTGATGTTCAGGAAAAGGAGTGTGGAAATGAAGCAAAGACAAACAAGCCTGAGGGAGTCTGTCACTACATACCAACTCCCACCTGCCAGCAATCAGTGGCTGAAGTACTCCCAGACCTTCAAAGCTGCATTGGGACCACCCTTCTATATATCCTCATGAATTGCACCATTACTGCCTTATGTCTTTCACATTCCATGCTAATTGCTCACACACAGCTTGTATCTGTCCTTCCACATACCCCTCTTCCATCAGAGAATCCCCAAACCAGCACAGCCTTTATCCCCTTTGCTCACTAAATTCTGCCTCTTTAATACACTGTGAACCACATCAAAAACAACATTCACTTTTCAGATTGCCTTGAAGAACTCCTTAAGCAGGTGTGCATCAAAGACTGTATGTGCAGTGGCTGTTAATTTAACAGTCTGCTAAAAAGCTGTTCATTTTATTACCATATTATCAATCCAACTGGACACCAATAAAGGTTTTATTTGGCAGAAGTGACAATCCACAGGCTGGCAACATTCTCATGCTCTGTCATGATGCTTCCGTTTTTATTTGCTGTCTGATATCTTGGGCATTCTCTTTCAAGGCATGAAGCCTACCATCTTGGGGATGCTCTTCAATGAGCTACCGCTGGTGTTTGTGTTTCCATTTGATAATACTGGCAGAAAATAACAGCATGGGCAAGAGCTGGAAACAGACAAATCTGTTCTGTGGAAGACTAGGCTTTAAGGATACAGAAAATACAACAAACCATAAGCTGCTGAGCTGCCTAAATGCAGCTTTTTGGCCAGGACTACTAATAAGCTCAGACACGCACCACTGTGATACTGAAAATAATCTGATTTACTTCCTCACCAAACAATTTAGGCTCAGATATACCTGAACCAGGGAGAAACCTGAGCACTTTCTGGGAGCACAGAGTAACTTGAAAGATTTTGAACCTGCCAGATCTCACAGAGCTGTCATACCAGATCAATTGCCTTTTCAGTCCAGGATCCTATCAACAGAAGTGACCAGCTCCACATTCATGCAACAAAGGTGGAAACAGTTTACCTGAAGTGCAGTGAATTATCAAGCAAGTGAAACATAAAGCAGATTTCTCTCTGATGACTCTTCTTGCTCTCTCCTCTTCATTCAAGCCTTCACTCCCCAGTACTGCCAGAGGATGAAGCTGAATGTTGTCAGACGCAGCAGTGGCAGAACTACACGTACAGACAGCCCCAAAAATAACCAGGAAGAAATTTTCTTCCTAACGTCCACACAGGAAGAGGCTGGTTTGACTTCTCCAACCCTACTTAAGGTAAATGTAAATATTTAATGCAAACTTAGGCATTACTATTTGTCCATAAAGATACATCGCCATAACGGAAAACCTACAGAGCTCTTGCTTCCAGCAGTACCTTGAAGCAACAGGGTCTATAAATTCAAGACTTCCACTCCTAGTTTTAAATTGACATTAAATGCTTGGGTCCAGACTGTGTTCTCTGGGCACACAAAAAGAAAAGGCCTATGATTTATTTTCTCTGTGCTGTTTGTTCATTTGTACAAGTGTCTCCAAATCATCTCCTCTTCAAATTTGACCAGTCTTTCTGTTTACCAAAAGACTTTCTTTGTGTGAATCAATTGTCATTGCTTTTCTAAAGACCTCACTTCCTTACTCTCATTCAGGATGTACCCAGAGGCAATGGTAAACAGCCTGATACAGACAATGCCAAAAAATGACATCCTGATTTGCCACTGCTTAATTCCAAGCTGGTAAAAACAATTTTTATGTTCCCTAGCAATGCTTGTTTGTTTTAATAAGACATATCCAATAGATTGCTACCAAGTGAGCAATGCAGTTCTTGGATATCTCATGGGTGGCCTGGCCTAGACTCACAAACCAAGCAATATGTGGAATGCCAGGTCTGTATTACGGCCCAACACGTCTAATGTATCAACAGCACTAACTGAAGATGAAGCTGTCAAGTGACCCAATAACTATAACACATTGCTTCCCATAAAAATAATCAGAAACTAAACTGCTGGTGAGGATTCTGTATGCCACTTTTCACAGCATTTAATTAAAAGAATGAAAAAGAGCAAACAAGTGAGAGTGAGCTGTGAAATCTGAGATGTGCCTTGCTGCCTACGCACTCTCACACAGAGGGTCTGAAAAATCACTGGAACATCCTTCAAGTTGATGAGCTCATCTGCTGTATCCATAGGGATTGCCAATAAATATTGATACGCTTTCATTGGAATTCAGTGCTCATTTAGGATGCAGTCATTTGTATTCTCCGCGTGGCACAGTGATTAACCCTTTCAATGAAGCTGTGATTCCATTTAAAACAAATTGGCTGGATGCACACCTTCTACTACAGCAACAGCACACCTTGTTGCTTGGGAAAACCAAGCACATCTTTCATCTTCATTTAGCTTTGAAGGGGTTACGTTATAGTAGCTCCCATTACATCCTCACTGAAATTAAACGCCACCAGCAGCACTACTGAAAGATGTTCTGAAGTTTACAGAGAAATGATGGAAGCTTGTAAAGTGCTGGGGGACTTCTCCAGTTTAATTGTATAGACTTAGTTCCATAAATTGCTCAAATGGAATAAATACAAATAGCTTTCTCTGCTTTTTGACCTCTTTGGGTTAATGAAATGCACACTAACACCCACAGTAAGCTTAGCAATTCTGCTGCATAATCACACAATATCCCCAGAAACCCAGTCAGAATGCAAGACTCAGTACACACATGAACACTACCTGCCTGGATTCTGGTGAGGAATTCAGAAATACTGCTGCTTTCCCTGGCAATCCTTACCTCTGTCCTCTGAATGGACTTGGGAATCAAGTCAAGTGAACAATAGAAAGCAAAAACAGCATTTAAAGAGAGGAATCTGTACTTGATCATTCCTGTACATAAGTTATTTCTCTTGCAGCAACACAAAGAAGAATTTGATCCTACTGGAGACGTACTACTGAGAAATGAGTTCTTGTTCCAGTGGGCTATATTTCCTTATCTTCTCAACTCTCTTTAACAGCACCATCTCTCCTAAATCACAGAAAAAAGCTGCTGGATGCTCTGTCCTGCCATGCCAACAGACACCTCCAGAGATCTGCAGAAGTTTCATTCACTAGACACGTAACAAAGCATGCATAAACACAGGCCTGGGGAGGCCTTAGAGCTACCAGCACAGCATCACCTCAGCTAGCTCTTCTCAAGATTCAAGGACAGTACCTGAAAGCCAAGCGAGTTCTCCTCCTCCACAGACCGTGAGTTTGCCTGCTGCCATCTGTTTCAGTCCTGATAAGACTAAGCAATATAACCACTTTAGTGATATTTTCCTACTTTTACTAACGATCCAAGGTGCTGTCTTATATTTATCCTCGCTGGGTTCTCTCGGTGGTTTGTTTGTTTCGTTTCTGAGGCTCTGAAGCTGCAGAGCAGGAAAATATTTGTCCTGTTATGTCAAGAAACAATCCTGCAGCAATCCACAGCAGTAGGTCTGCAGAAAGTGAACTTCTCCAGTTCCTGCTTGTGCACTCCACTTCTGTAACAAATGCTTCCAAAATCCTCATCCTCCTTCCAACCATACACTGGAGGGGAGTCAGTGGCAGGCAGGAATGGTCTTAAGTGCTAATTGTGTTTGCTGCTGAGAAGTAAGAAGTTCTCCCACTGACCTGTTGATATGCAAACCTAAGCAATAAAGATGCGACTTAACCACTCAATGATTCCAACATCACACCTCAGCTCTCTAATGTATTCAGCCCAACCCAAACTCAGGCCCTCTGGCTGAACCAGTACAGTATCAGACACAAAAGACACTGCTCTCGCAATTCATCTGAGCTGCTTGTATAAACGGCACTTCAGACACACAGGATGAGTTGCTCCTTGAAAGGGACACCAACTTACATAAAGATAAGATGATGACATGCAGACAAGCTAGAGGGTAGCTAAGACAGTAAGGACATATAGTGAAGTCAGGATGAAATCTAGAGGGTTGCATAAGGTTTTATTGCCACGGAATATATAACTGATGATATAAAAAAAAGTGAAGCGCAAGGCCAGATGCCTTAGGTATTATGCATATACAGCCTCTTCTCTTTACTCTTACATTGATATACAAGGGGGAGACCAGATGCGAAACCAACGGAAGTTTTTTCTGAAAGAAGAAAGCATCTTTACTTTCCTCATAAGGAACAACCTGTCACATAGTAGCACGGCAACCATATTCTAGTCTAACCACCGAAAAAGAAGAAACATGTCATGCTGGAAATCACGAACCCAAGGAAGCAGGAGCACCACAGGACGCGTGCACCTACCTTAAAGAGCAGGCAGTCTCCTTGGTGCTCGGCGTAAATGGAGGTGAGTCGATACTGGTTCTCAGTGGTGATGTCGATCTGGTACCCAGTGAGTGTGTAACAGACCTTGCGAAACTCCTGGATCTTGGTCTGAAAAATTTCCTTCAGGCGCTGGTTTTTTAGTTCTGCACTTTCCACTTGCTTCTTCAGTTCTATTTAGGGGAAGAAAGTGAGCACTTTGTTATACGTCATTGGCATAGAGACCTTGTGCCGTATTTACAGTGCTAACCAAACTAAGTGAATTGAAAAGGTTAATTAATTTTTTAAAAAGTGAATTAAGTAGGCAGAGTAAAGAAACAGGCAAGCTAGAATCCTCTCCTCCTGTCCCTAGAAGACCAAAAGATAGTAAACTGGGGAATGAGGAAAAGAGACAAGTTTTAGTAAGACGGATTTTTCTTTTGCTTGGCCAGCCCTTCAACAGCATCTACAAAATTCAGAGCTACAGCATCCATTTCTCCACATGCACGCATCTCATCTTCTACACAGAACCCAAGAGAAGAGCACTAAGTTACAGGGAGCAAGAAAGTGGAAAAATGGTAACAAATGCGCCTCTGTATGGTCGCACGAGGAGGGATCTGGCTATAAGGGAAATCTCTTCAGACGCACACTCGATCTGACTGTAAGCACTTTGAGCTCAAATTGACACGATGCTTAGGAATCCCTTAAGATTCGGGAAGGGGCTTTTCCTGTGATAAAGAGCCTGAGGAGTACCACTGTCTCTTTCCATTTGCTGCCTTACCTGGTCTAGTCCCCAGCAGAGAGGTCCTGGGAGACTGCCTGCCACTCACCCTGCATTTTATTGCTACAAAGGGAGCTGCCAGCACTGTGAATCCTTCAAGAGGATACACAACAATTACCATGAATCTTTCACCCAAGGTGCCTTCTGAGTAATTAAACCTCGATTTATCCCCCCATTAATTACAGAGATTGGCTTTACCTTAATATACGCTAGAGATGCCTCTCAAGTCAGCTTGTTATCAACACCACAGTCCAGAGCTAGAAAAAACCCTCTTTCTAACAGAAAACAAACAGACTTCTTACTCAGATATCTCTTTGTCATTCTGAGGTTTACAGCTTTGTCTGTCCTGCAATGAGAGAGATAACTGCAGCACACTTGGGCCACAGGACAGCTAGTTTGTGCTCCAGCACTTGGAAAGCAGGAATTTCACTGCAAGATGACTGCTTGTGCATGAATCATGGATTTTAGCTGGGCCTATACAGCCCGTGCTGAAGTATTACTGCTTCCCAAACTTGCTAGAAAAGTTTTTGCTCAAGTATTTCCACAAATGTGTTTCCACTGACCTTCCAAGTGCAGCGCAGGAGGAATGCAGGAATGGCAATGGTGAGCCCACAGTCCTGCTGTGATTCAGCTCCCAGCAGCTGCAGGAGCACTAGCAGTAACAACTCTCCTCTGATCTTCTGTGCTGCTTTACTTAGGCTCTTGGGGTGGGACAAAAGGATAATTCAACGTGTTAAGTTAAAGTGCCTTAAATGCCACTGAGGATGCCCTGCTCAGAAGTACTCTGGCCTTAATCCAATTTAACTTAATCCCCAGGCAAGGACAGAAACTCTTTAATGGTTAAAGAACTCCATGTCCCTTTACTTCTGAGTGAGAGCATCCAGACAGGGTGAGATAATGCTGGCCATCCAATTACCTTTGGTTAATTCAGGCCCACCTTCCAGAGCTGCTCATAAAGATGTACAAGGAAAGTACTTCTTTTACTTCAGGGATCCCTCCAAAAAACTCTACCTTACTTTATCAAGGGGTACAAACCAGCCTTGGGAAACATCACAGGCCAGTCCACTCACTAATACGCTGCTGTACAAGAAAAGACCAACTGCTGGGGGATGTAAAGCATCTTTCCTGACCAATCTTCCCATTCCTATCTAATTTATCAGTGAGCAATTAACTCAGCCCTTCCCAGGATTGTTACAACCTTTTTCCCATCATCTCAGCAGGGTCTGGTCCCTTGATTAATTGAGTAATCAACCTCTGAAATCAGGAGGTTAATTGGTGGCTCTGACCTCAGTATTTTCACAGTCTTCATTCAGCTTTGCATTCTGAAGACGTTAAGGACTGAAACTGTTAAGGACAAAATCCTATACATGAAAGTAAAATTCAGTGGCCACACTGCAGTGGTAAATAATGTTTCACCACTGATCAGAGATAGCACTACTTTTAATATATCTCATGTCCAACACTGATATTTTTTCCTAATAAATGCAGCCCAGCCTTGGAAAAGTAAATCTGCCTTTTTGTACCATACCCTGCAGGCTGCTTTTCCTGATTTTATAACTTTGGGGGTGGATGGTACCCTAACTCATCAAACAGCTTACATTATTCACAGACAGTCAGCACCTCTTCCACTGTTTTGTTTCCAGTTTGGTTACTTCTAATGGCCATCAGGAGCACCCTCACCACATGCTGGGTTCAGCCTTATCACCCACCCCAGGGTGAAAAAGGATGTATTCTAAGATCAGTCTTTCCTGCAAGAAGCCCTGAGCTTTCCGATTGAGCTGCAGGGCTCACCACCTCCACTCCCTGCAGCATGCCCTGGCATCCCCACGTCCTCCTGGCTCCCATTCCTGCTCCTGCGGCAGTTCTGGTGCCTCACCGCATCAGCTGTCCTGGCTGGAGGAATTCATCTGCATGAAGAAATGCTATCTCCCTGCTGGAGACACCTCGTGTCAGCCACTGGCACAAGGCGCTGAGCTCCATAACTGCTAATGCAGATGTAGCAGAACGTGCCAGCACCAGTCAGGGACAGGAGGAAGCCCTGTCATCTGCCCAGTAGCTCCATCAGAATTCCCAGCAGTGTTTCTTTAGCCAAGCAGCTTGGGAATGGGCATAAGTAAAGAAGCAGGCACAGGGAGATGATAGGAATGCTTTGATTTGTAGCTGCCCCTGGTGAAAGGCCCACTGAGCCACGATGCTGAGAAGATGGCTCTTCCTTTATGCCCAGCTAAACTGGAGTCATCAACAGCTCAGCTACAGCAACTGCTGACGCTCACCCTCATGCAACATTTCTTTCTCCTAAGGTAATACATCAGCAAGGGCCTACTTCCAACTACTTCCAAACAGAGGACAGCCCTCAGGACTGAGAATAACTCCCTGCTTCCCCTTCTTGGACATTGCTGACACCACCACAAAGCTGGGCTGCAAGGACTCTCAGAACAGCAAACTGGTAGGAAGGCAGCCTGAGACACATGGGACAGGGTCCCACTGCTGAAACAAAGCTGCACAAATCCATTTGAGGCACACCCGGGTAATTTTCAAGGCTTCTCACTGTGCTCCCACAGGAGACAGCATTCCTGCAGGCTCTGCATCACAGCCACCAGCCCCAGGCAAACCTCTCAGACGCTTTGGGGACGTTGGAGATGGCACCAGCTGCTGCTTTTTAGGCACAGGCTTCCCACAGCCTCTGTGCTGAGGCTCTATGCAGGGTTTGCCAGCAGCCAGAGCTGCACAAGCAGCACGCTGACTGACCTGAGGACACCAACTCTCTAACATCTCCCCTGCCGTTAAGTTACGTACAGCTGTTTGCTCTGTTTCTGAAATCAGAGATGTGATGGGGCTCATTCTTAAGCCTTACCTAATACCAACAATTCCAGCCAAAGTTCTAAGCACAGTCAGGAAAAATTGTTTTAAAAGTCATAATTTGCACAGAGCGCAATTCAGCTTATTTCAGAGAAATGCCTCATGCACAGCTGTAAAGGTGACTGAGCAGAGGAAGATCCTTCCAGGACAGGTCGAGGTGCATTAGCAGCAATTTCTGATGACAACGTTACTTTCCACCCACTCTATCTCCCACATAGAGAAAACTGAACGTCTCGATCCTTTAAGACCTTTCACAACATTTGGAGAATCAGGTTCAATTACATCTTTAAAAAGACAGTGTTTGAAAACTCCAAGGCTGTGTTTAGAGCACTCATCGGAGTTCCCATGTTTGACATCATTACGCTCACAAAGAACAGGTGAGAGGTGCAGGTGTGCTCTGCAGAAACCAGGGATGGGCAAAGCTGCACCACAAATACCTCAAAGCATCCATCCCAAAGGCATCTGAAGCAAAGGAGGACTCAGGAAATACACTAAGGTTTACTAGGTTATGCCTTGGACAGGGATACTGCCTTGTACTCTGCCTGGTGTTAAACACAAAGAGGAGAACAAAGAGAAAAGGAAAATATCTACAAGTTGTTCTGCCTGGTCTCCTTGGTATTCAGGCCACACACCCCTATTAAATGCTGCCTATCATAAAGAGTTTGATGGCCAAGAAAATTCCCACTGAAAAAATCATTAATCTGTTACAAAATTAATATTGCCAAATGATTAGCTTCCTCCTAATGATGCTACTTCTTAAAACCACCTTGTATTTTCACACGCTTATATCAACTTTAATGAATAATTCAAACTATTTTGGATAAATAAATAAAATATGAGTTGGGCTTTTTTTGGTCTCTCGGATTGGAAATGTCACTGCTTTTTATTCCACTGCTCTTACACTCCTTACATCTGACAATGCTCACAGCTGCCTGGAAATACCACAGCTTTGGCTCCTGCTCTCAGTTCAGCTGGGTCAATCAATAGCAACAGCAGTCTCCACACCAAAGAAAACCAAATCCACACTTAACCTTTTCCCTGAGGAAAGAGGTAAAACACTGCGGCTCTCAGCACACCACAAGTGCCATGGAATTAGATGTACCACTCGACTTTGTCAGAAAAACATAAAATTGGTTCTGCAAATCCTCCAAGACACCCCAAGCCATGCAGCTGCATTAATTCGCTTGTGATCCCAGCTAATATTTTTCAGTCCCAGAAAAGCCCATTCGGGGCCCTGTTACAGGTTACCTTACGTTCCATTAGAAAGGCAACTGAGGTTCAGCCACTCACTCATAATGTATGGGATAAAATACTCTGCACCACACTGATTCCTATCCATCCTGTCCCAACCAGAGTGCCTCATTCAGACAGCACCCAGCACTGCTACATGGCCCACCCATCACCAACCCCACTGCACCCCTCCAGTTCCTTCATTATTCTATGGCAGGTCTGTGCTTCCCACCCACCTTGCTGCAGCTCAAGCACTGCCCTTCTGCACATGAAACCCATTGAGCCATTCCCCAATCCAGCCCTGAGCTGAAACGTCCTCCAGCT